AGAAAAGCGTAAGGAAGTTCTTTTCTTAAAATTACCACCAATCGTAAACGACCTACTCCTACTTCCTAAACTACCCCTCTTCCGTTTCTTTTGATTTTTCTTTCTTTCTTTCTTTCTTTCTTTTATGTCTTTTCGCCAATGAAAATTACTGGTTCGATGATTTTTTTTGTATGCTTTGAGATGGAACATCGAACGAATTTTCAACTACTTTTGTTTGTTCTAACTCAGTGATATGAGTAAAACTACTACCGCAAATTTATCATGTAATTTTATTGGAAATCTTTTTGAAGTTCTTCAAATAATCGTTTTCCGAAGAATGTTATTTTTTGTTTGTTTTCTTTCTAAATACTGGTTCCTTTAATTTCTTTCTTGTTTTCATTAATTATTATATTTATTGTTCTAATTTGTCTCTTGCATTTCATTTTCTGAAAAATACTATTTTCGTTACCACCATCTTCTTTTCTTTTCTTATTTTTTTGTTCTTTTTTAAGACACTGTTCATCATCTTCCTTTTCTTTCTTTCTTTTTTATATCGAGGATAATTAATAATTAATATTTATTCGCGTTCTTATATATAATTTTTGTTTGGATTTATTGGATAATTTATACGTTGAATATTTTTTATTAAATATAAATAATAATGTGTGTCAATATTTTTAATAGATGGTCAGAGTATTTATAAGATGACCAAGGTTACATCTCATGGTTGTATATTGATTTAACAGATAAATACTAATCAAAAATGTTTAAAAATAATTATCCGATAAATAGAAGTCTATAAAATATTGATCATCCTTCTTCTTGGAAAAATAAAATATGTATATCAAAAAGAGAATAAATATAAATTGCGTTTATCGTATTATAATGATAAATAAATAAATGAAAAAAATTATTCTATGAAAAGTTTTATATAACAAGATGATCATCAGACAACATCATCATCAGAAATAAATATAAAAAAAAAGAAGAAAAAAAAGATACGAATATAAAAACAAAGAGAAACGTAATTAATCATAATCGTTATTAATATTACAACATTAAGTTATAATTACAAACACAATACGTTGATATATTAAATTAAATCCGAATAAAATAAAATTTGTTGTTTCCGCATTGAGATATATTATTCATAATATATATTTATAATTACGAATTATAAATAAATTCTCGCATATATATTCTTGAAAGTACGATTACGAAACGTGTTGAAGATTAATCGAAAAATCTGACGATGATAAGCTTATCTATATCGTTCGACTGGTAATTACGTCAACGAGACTTTAATGAAACACAAAAATATAAATAAAAAATAAAAATATATTGAAGATAGAGAAAGAGAGAAAACGAGGAGAACAAAAATTAAAAAAAAAAACAAAACGTTGGGGAGAAAAAAAAGAATCGAAAAAACAAACATACAAACAAACAAACAAACTTCTCTTCTGCGAACATAAATGCTGAGAGAATATAGTTGATGATAAAGTGTAAGAACCGGAACATCGGACTGCAGAAGGGAGAATGGGAATGGGGATGAGGGATGAAGGATGAGGATGGGGGTGGGTGGGTGTGGGGGGGTTTAAAAAGCTCTCTTTCCTAAAAGAGTACCACTTGACTTTCACTACCGTGATCCATAACGCGTTCGTTAAGCTCTTGGGAAGTAATTTTTAACACTTGCGAAATAGAGAACTCAGAGTTTTACTTTCTTTCATCTTTTTTTTTTCTTTTTTTTTTTCAAAAACTCGATATTTAACTTCCTTGCCCTTTTTCTTGCGTTTAAAATAATATTAAAATGGAATCGTAATAAAATGAAGACACGAAAGCCACGATTAAAAAAAAAAATTAAGAATTAATTTAACAACATAAAAAAAATGATATTTTTCAAATAACAAATTATTAAATTAACGATCTGGGAGGGGAAAATAAAAATTAATAATAATAATTAGTAAATCTGTTATCGTTCGGTAACATAATAAAAAATGAACATATAATTGTTGATTAAATACATTAAATATAGAAATATAAATTCAATAATAAATTAATATATTACTTAATAATTAATGACAACGAATTTATTTATATTTCCACGGATAGTAATAATAATAATAATTATTATAATTGATTTTTTTTTCTTTTCATCAAATACCACTCAAATCTCCGAATTAACTTTAATCAATAACGTGTATATTATTTCCCATAAAAACCTGATACAAACTTATTAATTTATATAAAAAAAAATAAATACCATAGGGATAAATTTGTCGAATGATTTCATTTACTGGGAAAACGATAAGAAAGTAAAACAAAGAAACAAACTTATATAGTCCCTTGTGTGTCCACTGAGAAAGAAAGAAAAAAAAAGAAAGAAGGTAGATATAAGTGGACAAAATTTTGTTTTATATTTTGTCAAGAGAAAATATTTTTTAAAGGACCACATTGAAACTTAGAGAATAGAAATAGAGAGAAAAGAGAATTTGGATGAGTGATACCACGTATGTCATGTACATATATATATATATATATATATATATATAATACATATATGTGTAATAATATCCTATGCATCGAAGCAATATTAAAAAGTACGAAAAAGGGATGAAATATTTTCGTGTGGTACCAACCACTCGTTGAACGAAATTGCAACGGGAAGAACCACGATATTATTGCAATAACTACCGTTCTAAGCCGATACCTAAACGAACATATATGTAACTATACACACACACACACACATATATATATATATATACCAATCTAGCAACCTATTGCAAAAGTACTTTAGTATTGTACCGTAACCATATACCATAAGGTACTATATACAGTACGTACTGTATTCTACAGTGTTCCGTTCTATACAGAACATAGAGTAACGTGGCATGTACCAGTCCCGGTCCCGGTCCCGGTCCCGTACCGCATCCCGTTTGTGGCGATCGTCCGGAAATCCAATACACAGTACTCGAGCATTTGCGAAGATAACGCTCGGTTGGGAATCGAGAGGGATAATTGGACGAGGTGTGGAGGGTAGTAGAACCGTTGATGAGGGGTTGTAATCGCATTATTCCGAACGCGTTCCTACCACCACGCGCAACCAAGAGCGTGCCGGATAATCGTTTTTACAAATGCAAATGCACTCGGCAAAAAGACTCCTACGAACTACCCCCCCCCCTCTCCTCGCACATCCCCCACATCACCCCGCCCCACCCTTCTGTCTTTACATAACGAAAAAATAAATAGAAAGAAAGAGATGGAAGGATACGCATCGTTAAAAAAAAAAAAAAACACACATCCCTTGCATCTACTACTTCGTTAATGATTCGAGTACCAGTGTTCTACGTACCAGAGTTTAAAACTAAATTCCAGTAGGACAAGTACTACTAACTCACCCTTTGTTTTGTTCTAACCATTTCCTTTTTAGTTTACACCCCCTTTTTTTTTGTTATTTATTTACATTATGATAATAATTGTATTCGTCAATTTATGACCAATCTTTCAAAATTTTCGTTTTAAGGGATTATTATTATTATTATAATATTGTATATCGTGAAATTTTAAATATGATTGGAATGAATTATTTTTATTTTCTTATAGGATATTTATATATAGAATTTTGTTTTTTCTATCTTGCGTTTAGGAATATTCGTATTAATATAACGCAAAGGGTTATTCGTGAAGAAAAATAATGAATCTGTACGCATCTTACAGTTGATTCTTATAATTGATTGATATAGTTGATTGAAACTTAAATTAAACGAAGATTTCATTGTTTTTTCAGTACTTTAATATATTTAAATCGAGTTTATACCGATTAAACTTTAGTAAAATTGAATTTGTCTATTCACCATTCTCTTTGGCATGAAAAAAAAAAACCAAAAAAAATTGATATACTTAAAAGTCTGATTATTGCTATCAGAACAATTTTTAGTACTAGAAAACCCTTGGGGTAAAATATATACCCCAGTTTGTAGTTTGAAGGTTAAAAAAATAAGTTTGTGGTTGTAGGGTTAATTATAATAATAGATTAACATTTATTAATGCACACCTTACAAGTTAATGGTGTTAGGTATTTTTGGAAACTGTTGTATTGATATATAAAAACTTGTTCTTTTATAATTAATCAAAAATGCACAATGTTTAATTTAATATTAATATTTATTCAACTTTATTGGTATCAATAAATTGTTCTTTTATAATTAATCAAATGGGGCATCTCTCGTGTGTCTAATTTAATGTTAACATTTAGAAAATGCATGATATTATTCGACGTTTAATTGTTTAAAAAAAAAAAAGATTAAATATAAGAAAAATGAAAAATTACTTAATAAGAAGGTATCATCAAGGAATTTGGACATCAAAAAAAGAAATAGAATTTAATTTTGATAAGTTGGACGTTTCGGTCCCCCTTTATTGGGACTTCTTCAGCAACTTAATCTCTAAAGTTCAGCGTCTTTTTTTCTTTAACCCTTCTTTGCATGATGATGGAAATTTCAATCATAATATTTAGTCAACAAAAAAAGGTACTCAAAACCCTTGTACTGTATATTAATTGTTGCTGGCAACTTTTTAAGCGACTATTGCGTACAACAAAACGCAGTTGTCAAAAAATAGCACTAGGATTTTTTTCAATATTTTTCCTTTAATCTAGAGCATTAATTACATCACCCTGATTTATTTTAAAAAAAAAATAGAAAAAATCATGCAAAGAAGGGTTAAGTAGACATACATTTTTCTTTTTATTTATAATATTCAAAACACAAAACATCTACACTTCGTTAAGTCTTATAATTTGAATTTTGTTGATGTCCAAATTCCCAGTGATACCTTCTTATTAAGAATTTTATTTTTTGAACGAGAGAAACATCTAATTAAAAATTACATTTATATATCAGACATATATATATATTTTTCTATATTTCTAATTTTAGATTTTTCTTTCAAATGGTTTACGTGTATCGGATAAAACAAGAGCGGTTACAATTTATTATATCGAAGATTTTCATTGTTTTCAGAGCACGAGTGAGGTCCGGTATAAAAATCTTGGACGCATCGTCTAGCAGCCCCGATTGGGAAGTCAAAGTGGAAATAAATGCGAAAAATACGGCGGCCACTTTCACAGCTAAGCGAAAGGAAGACGCTTTGAGAATGCCAAACGCGTAAGTACGTCCAAGATATTTCCCCATGCGAGACAACACACCCTTCCTTTCATTCCTTTTCTTTCTCGTTTTTAGATCGATAATATCGAATAAAAAGAATCAAACAAAAAATTCCAAACTAACGGTGGTAGTAGAAATTTCCAATGAAAGAAAAACAAAAGGTACAAAAAGAAACGAACCGTTGTTTCTATCGTTTTTGTTTTTGGTTATTATTTTTTTTGGTTTTTTTATTTTTAAATCAATCGATACGAATTTGAAATTTCATTAAATACATCAAATTCTTTCGTTAAAGAAAATCATTTGCAATAAGAATGATAAAATTATTATTAATAATTGTACGGTAAAAAATTCGGAATAATTGTAGTACGTTGCAATTGAATTTGTTCATTTCCTTTCACAAAATAGATCAAACTCTTTCGTTAAGAAAATCATTTGCAATAGGAATGAGATAAAAATATTATTAATAATTGTACGGTAAATTCGGAATAATCGTAGTACGTTGCAATTGAATTTGTTCATCTCCTTTAATCCCTTTTCCCTGTAAAATGGTGTTAGGTTCGCAACCATCGCGTCTATTTTTCTTCTTCTTCGAATAACGTGCAACACGACGATGATTTTTTTCTTCTAACGATGATTCGATTTGATACAATTTGTCATCGTTCAACGTACCCATTGCAATATCTCTTTTATATTTTCTACCATGTCCTTCGTCTTTTTTATTGTCATCGCTATCATCGTCGTCATCGTCATCATCATCATCGTCATCGTCACAATTTTTCCTCTTCTTCTTCCTCGATTTTCTACCATGTTTTCTACCATTATTATCATCGCTATCATCGTCATCGTCATCATCATTATCATCGTCATGTTTGTTTTTATGTTTATCATCATCGTCATCACTAGATGAACTACTACTACTGCTACTACTACTGCTACTACTGCTACTACTACTACTACTATCATCATCGTCATCATCGTCATTTTTATTTTTCCTTCTTTTAGCATACCTCGCTTGTCTATCCAAAATCTTTCCAACATTTACTTCCTCGCTCGACGAACTAACACCACCACCACCACCACCACCACCATCACCTTCGGTTAAAGATTTTTTCGTAAAGTTATCAGTATCATCACCAACAACTATATTTTTCTTTTCCTCGGAACTAGAGGAATCACTGTTGGAACCATCTTTGACTTTTTTCATCATTTCCTTTCCACCAATCGTTGGCACGATTTCTTCTTTATTACTTTCCTCAACCAATGGATGACCATTACTCGTATCGTACAATGACACGAATAAAATTATGCACATTAGTGCCAACAGGGACGCGTTTTTACGCATCTTTATTTATTCTATATATAATTATTATTATTATACTTTTGTGTGATCCTATTCTATATCTTATTTTTTTTCTTTTTCTTTTCTTCTTTTTCTTCTATTACTTTAAAACTTGAAATTATTTTGACGATGCTATTTAACGATATCGAACGTGCTAACTGCACGAGTTCGTTTGTCGGTTTCTTATATACCCGCAGCACGAATTGCAGATAAACTTAAACACGAAATAAAAAGAAAAAGAAATTGAGAATGAAAAAGAGAGAGAGAGAGAGAGGAATAAGCAAAAAAAGATAAAGAAAATAATTTTGCTATCGGTTCTAACCTCGCCGATGCTCCGCTTTGATTTCTTCCTTCCTTACCCCACCCCCCCGCCCACCATCCCACCCCATTTTATATTTCATCAGTGTGTTTCTCTATCAGTGTTTCTTTTTTCTTTTTCTTCTTCAATCTTCTCTTTCTCTTTCTATTATTCGTTATCAAAGTCGATCGTTTGGTTCGGTTCGATTCGGTTTGGCTTGGCTTGGCTTGGCTTGGCTTCACTTCACTTGGCTTCCGTGAAATCATCGATTTTGTGTTAGAAATTTCAAATAGTTGATTGGAATATCGATAAAGAGAATCCAAACACGCAACAGAGATTTGTATCTTAGATATAAGGGGAGGTTTTTACCATTCTTCGAAATCTTTTACTTTTTTTTTTTATCTATCCCTTCATTATTCATCATTCTCCGATCTTTTTCCCAATTATTTTTCTAATAATCTGTTTCGTTCCTTTCTTCTCCTTTGTTTTTTTTTTTTATTAATATTATTAATCAAAATATCTCTCGTTAAAAAATATCATTCCAATTAGAAAAAACATTGTTTTTGTATTTTCGGTTTTCCTTTTATCGCGAATCTTTTCAAAAAGAAAAGAAACAAAAAAAAAAAATATTCTGTACGCATAATGGAATAAAAAAAAAAAAGAAAAAAAAGAAAAAAAGTAGTAGAAATAAATTCTCAGAAAATGTGTTACCAAAGGGCAATAAACAGATTCCGAGTAATTCGATAGCACGAATGTTTGTTTGGTATGACCCAAAAGAATAGAAGGAGGGGTAGGGGGAGGGGAAAAGAGAAACGATAAAGTCTCAAAAGTAGGGGCAGGGAGTAGGGGGGGAAGGGGGGGGGGAAAAGATTGTCCTTGTAGATTTTTCTTTCCCTCTTGGCTTTGGTAATAAGCGCAATGGCGCCGAGTAAAGATGCATTAGCGAGACGAGTTCGTAAGGCCAGACATCTTTGTGTATTTTCTATGTATCATCTCTTTTTATACATATATATATATATATCTGTATGTACGTATAAACATACATACATACATACATACATAGATACGTATATACATAGTTTTGCATATAGGTTTATGCGATTATATACGCGAGGCATGTATTATGCATAAAACGCGAACCACTTTTCGTATCTCGGAAAGCCTTCTTCTTCGTCTCGTCGTTGCAATAGAAAAAAAAAAAAAAAATAAAAAAAGAAAAGTCCTCTAACGACGCGTCATTTTTTGCCCCGCATTAGAATAGACGACAACTTTGATCTTAGAATAACCGAGGATTATGATATCCGACATGTTCAAGAATAATAAAAGACCATTTTTGTTGTTGCTGTTGTTTTTTTTCCTTCCTTGTTCTTTCCTGCTTTTTTATGATTCATTTTCATCGCGTCATTCAATTTCATAAATTTCATTGTTATATGTGTTTGTTAATTTACATTATAATAATAATATAATACGAGATTAAACTGTTAATACTAAAGTCTAGATATTTTTTTTGGTTTTCTTTTTTTCTAGAGATAAAAGA